CCCCCTCCCCTTCCCTACAGTTCCATGCAAAATAAAGAAAAGACAGTGTGAAAGAAAAAAGTTGCTATTGTGCTCTCTCTTTGGAAAACCCATAATGCTCCTTGATACCATGTCCTAAATGTGTCAAAAATAAAATAAACCCATAACTATTATACTTTAAATAAAGACTCCTGTCTGTACTACAATACGGTACCACATTGCCATAAATTCAAAGCTATAGTGAATATTACATATATGATAACATATCTAGTAAGTGTATTACTTGATTCTTATATATTGCTTACTTTGTTCTCTTCTAGAGCTGGCTGGCTCCACTGCATCCGGGTTATCCATAGAGAAGGCTCTGTTCTCCATTATTATAGAGGGTGGCTCATCAGAATGCCTATTCATGATGTTCAGCCTGTCTCCTTCATATTTGTATCCAGACCTTGTCATCTCGACAAGCTGCGGTATGGCATAGAACAAGATAAAGACCCAGGCGTTTGATGCCAAAGCTATGGCCAGAACTGGATCATCCCAAGATTCATGGCCTAATTTCTCATTGCCATACAGATACATCACAATCCAGGCCACCCAGATGAGAAGAGACAGAAATGCAGTAGATACAATGTGTCTTCCATGGCGCTTCCATTGTAAATAGTGTCCACGAAGCACTGGGCAAGGGATTACCAGTGATGCCACAATGAGGAACATAACATAGACTAACGCAGTCACAAAGTCCTGGTTGGTAATGTTGCATGGATGACCAATGTCTTGCGGAGTCTGGCGTACATTAGTAATAAGAAGCCATTCCATGTTTATTACTGCTTCTACCAAGAAAAGTCCAATAGCAAGCAGAAACACTAGGCACCCTCCAGGGCCACGATTCTGAAGCACTAGGTAGTTGAGCCTCACTGAATGTGCCACCAGGCAGGCAAAACATTTGGCAAATACCACACCAAACAAAAATCTGCGGATTATGCACACTGTGGAATTAGGTGCAATGACAAAGGCAAAAACTAAAGAGAATAATCCAAAAACTCCAGAAAGAAAAAGAAAATTTAAAGCTAAGGCACCTTTGCGCTCATCATGAGAAACAGAAGGAGCAAGGGCTATACATATTAATATTAATATTATTGTACACAAAATACCTAAGGCTGCCACAGATATTAGGATAATACCCCAGGCAGCTTTCAAATCACATAAGGAGAAGAAAATCCATGTCACATCCTGACCACAACCAGGAGGTAAAACGGATATGTTCTGGGGATTTGTAGATGTTGAATTCTGAGCGATCGCTTCTCTTGCATATATCACCAAGCACAAAAAGATCAGATGACGGTGATGAGCCATCTCAAGTTAAATCTATGAGAGAAGAAGAAAACAAAATGACTTTGACATAATTCTCACGTATATTTCAAATAGAGGGTTTAAATAACAACTCCAAATAATTATATTAAAGAGGAACTTTACCCATATCTTTGAAATGACAACAAATACACCTTTAGAAATGTTTAGTAATGGTAATCTACAAACAGATACATATAGGCAATTGCATATTCTGTGCATAACTTGTTTTTCTTTTCCCCCCATTCTTGTCACAGTGGCCATTTGTACTAAGGGCAGATTAACATATCTCCCTTTACTTCCTGGAACTCTGGCACATGTGACTAGGACATGCGACCATACACATCATCTCAGGGGAGGAAAATGTCTTTCCCTGAGATCTCATGAACTTACAGATGAGATTTCCCAGCAATGCTCTGCTGATGTAACCTTCGCAGGATGCAATGTTTGGGCATCATTTGTGCCCAAGTGGAGCAGGAAGTAGAAAAAAAGGAATTGTAAATAAAATTAAAATATGTTTGTTTAACTAATGAATGTAAGATGATTTATATCAGGCATAATCTAGAGCAGTTGTCCATGGCAACCAATTAGCTTATTTTTTCAGTTTGTTTTGTTAAGCTTTGAAAATAAAAGTTAGAATCTGGTTACTGTGGGCATCTGATCCAGATTCTGTCTGCTCCTGTTTTGATACATTCCCTTCAGTATAATTTCAATGAAAACATATTTTGAGTTCTTATTGCCGAGTTTACCCTAAATCTAGAGATATATATATAGTTTTTTCAATTATCTATTTTCTTTTAATTGTATTTTCCCTTGAATTTACCTGACTGTGCTGAAAATGCACCTTGATAAGCTCCATTGTTTTAAAAACAACATGAAAAACCATGACTAGTGAAATGAAATTTCAGGAAAGTTGGAGAAAACATTTGATTTTTCTTGACCTTTATAAGTGATAGTGATTCATTATGCTCCAACTGGTGACCCCAACGACAACAGTCCAGGGAGGATTAGAAACTTTGGTCTGATGGGCATATATAACACATTGGCCTTTTCACAGTAGATACAGCCTACATATAGACTTACCTGGTGCAGATATGCCAAAACAATTTAAAAGCAATCCATGCTTGCTTTTAGCTACCGCCTGTTGCCACCTCTACAGCCAGTCTATCATACTTATCACCACTCTATTCAAATCTAAGTGTAACTAAAGGCAAAACTTGTTTTTAAAGTGTGGTACTCTGAAAGGGTACTTCCAATAGTGAAATCAGCACAGAAGAGATTTCATATGATTTGATTGTACGTGTGTCTCGTGAATTATAGGCCACCGGGGCGTGGCCAGCAGCCGCATGTAAGCAGTCGCATCTAAAACGAGCTCTCCTCCGGTATCCTGTCTTTCATTCTGTGGCTTACCTTGCAGCTCTCCTGTTCCACGCCGGCTTGTAGGTGAAGTTCTCCCGATCCTCGAGGTGCCATTTGGAGGGGGTAAGAGGTCGTACTGCTCCGCGGAGATGTCCAAGAAGGAGAAGGGCAAGCTGGGCGGCCTTGCGGGCCAAGATGGCGGCGGTTCCCAGGCTCCGCTCCGGACCCCCAGTAAAGTGGCTTGAGACAAGCTCAAGGACCCGGCAGCGTGGCTGGAATGCTTTGCCCCCCACCAGGACACCCCTAAGCAGCAGAGGCTTACCTATTCAGGGGACCGCGGCGCCCGGAGAGAATCCGTGGGGGATCCTGATCTCTCGGACTCAGAGGGCCTGGATGATCCTGTGGTGACAGTGAGTACTGCAGCTAAAGCTGCTAAAGGACTCAAACCTCCTAAGACCAAACTCAAGGCAGCTGAGCCCACTATTGCGGATGTGTATTCTGCTGTCCAATTATCCAACACTGCACTAAATGTCCTAACGGAGGAGGTGCAGGGGATAAGATCGGATATTTCATTTATACACCACGATTTTCAAAAAGTGCGTGAACGCACGACAGCTCTGGAGGGTAGAGTGAGTGATTTGGAAGACTCTTCTGCCCCTCTAAATGCAGAAGTCAAATTGGCGATGCAGAAGATACATATAAACTCCCAGAAGTCCGATGACATAGAGAACCGGCTGCGTCGCAACAATATACGCGCTGTCGGTATTCCAGAACGCACCGAAGGAGCTAACGCCACTGATTTCATTGAAAATTGGCTGTCCGAGGTCTTTGGGAAAGACTATCAAAAAAAAAAAAAGAAGAATTATAGGCCACCAATAATTCTGCACATGTATGTAATATGAGCACCTACTCCTTCCTGCTCTTCTAGATATTGCTCTGCTCCAGGTAGGAAGTTTTAGTGCAAAATGGATGGGTAACTGGTGGCAGTGGGTAGGGGTTAGAGTAGTATGGAGGGAAGGGGGACAGGAGGCATTGTAGTAACAATATTTTGGACAACACAAGGTGCCAGTAGATAAAAGCAGCAGTAAGGGGAGGAGGATGTCCAGCTGGCGAGAATATGGAGCTAAAAAGTATTGCTCTGCAGGAAAATACATATGTTGATCAGTATTGCTTCTGACCTGAAGAAGAGAGGTTCACTCTCGAAAGCTTGTCTTTTATATATTTTGTTAGTCCAATAAAAAAGGTATCATTGCACACTGCAATACAAGAAAACAGATTGGCAATCAGGCGGGCATTAAGGTGAAAGGGTAGCATGGTGGGCTCGAGTGGGAGCCAGCAGAGAATACAAAGTAGGCAGCAAGCCCCCCAACTCCAAGTCTGGCTCTGCTCTCTGTACACATCAACAAGAAGCCTCTCATTGGCATCATATGAGGTAGATCCCAATTAAAGTCTATCTAAACCCAATAACAGTTACCAGCTTACCAGTCCTTACATATGGTAGATGCATTAGTTTCCTTTTATTTTTAGGCTATCTTTTTTTCTTCTTCTTTTCTTTATTTCTACATGATAATTCTGCCAATAAGTGACTAAGGTAACTTCTGTCCTACGGTAACAATGCTCTCTGTGGCACTCTAGACTGCTCTCCTGATTTAGACTACAAACACCTTCCTCTCCCCTCATGTCCATTACATAGCGGTACATTGATTTACAATTTACTACGATTTCAGTTCAGTCCACTGGAAATTACAAAGACACATAATTTGGGGAATTGACAGGCACTTACTCCCCATCTTGTTTTACTGGTCTGCAGCCAGGTGAGAACCTTAAGTAGTTATCTAACTGCTGCCACAAGGGAGGTGGGCATATATCATCCACCTTGGCAGCTGCAGACCGTGGCTTCTAAACCTTCCCTGGCCCCAATGCAATATATGCATACCAGAGAAAAAAATGGGCCCACACTGCTCATGCACTCAATTACAGGTTAATAGCTCAAGAGACATAAACAATCAGTCATTAATATAGAAACCTTGGCATGTTTCGCACGTGAAAGTGCTCACTCATAATAACCTTATAAGTAAGCAATTTGATGTGCAAAATGCATCAAGGTTTTCATATTGATGACTGACTGTGCCTTTTGAGCTATCTGTGGACAAGCAGATAAGCAGCGGTTCTATTTCTTCTTGGACACTTATAGTGTGCACCTTAGGTGGCTGGACCTATTTATTGCAAAGGCACTGGCCTAAGGGGTATATGTATCCCTGCCCTATGCTCAGTCCTCCCTGCACTCATCCCATTCCGAACCTCTTGTAGTGGATTTCAGTTGTAGTGTACCTTTAACATACTTTATATGCTACAGCATTCATCTATTTGTGAGATATATTTGCTGGAAGCTGCACAAAAGATGCAGTAAACCAGCAAGCAGCCTTATTCACAAATGCATTGTAACTGTGCCAAAATGTATGGCTGAGGTTTTATCATTGACCTATTTGGATTAAGGGATTCTAGAAAAAAGGAGGTTAATAAGAAGCTAAATCAAACCATCTAAATTGGTTTCTCTCCCCATCCCCCAAACGTCTCCTGAATGTGACCTAAAAGGTCAAGAGTACTAGCATATTGTTCTTACAGGGAATCCCCTCCTTACTGAACTGCAATCAGTTCTTGAAGCAGAGCCAAGGATTAATTAGACATTCTTTCTAGGAAGCCGAGCATGGGGAAATGTGTGTTGCTAGGCAGAAAAATGAAGTATTGATGATTTCAGTTACTTTCAACTGAATCATTTTACTGCTATTAACAGATATGTGTATCTTAATAATGGTTTGTAACTGGCTATAGAATAAAGCCAGAGGTAGAAAAAAAGCAATAAACGCTGAATACAAAACATTCATTCTACAAATCTGGCAATACACCTGTACAAGATGGCTTGTTCTGCCAACATAAATGTTAATCAGATGCAAAAGCATAAAAATTTTCTAAGCGTCGTGTGATTCGTTTGATTTTCAGAAAAAACTCTTTTTGCTGAGTTGCTGCCATTTACAAAATATTAGCAGCATCTAGCACATTTTTATTGATTGTAGTCTGTTATTAGAGAGAAGATTCGTTTTCAGGTTGTTGCTGGGGAAAGCCAAACGGTTTAGGTATAAAGTGATTCCCGCCACTAGGAGGCATTATGGTCTTTATTTAGGAAGAAGATGTGAAGTTCACTATCTCATAGCAACCAATCAGCTATTGTTATTAATTTTTTTTAAAGCTCTGAATGGACAAAAAAAATCACCCTGTCTCCTTCAAATAATCAGAATGTTTTTATACCTCCAAATGGCTCGATATTTTCCACAAACAGAACAAAGCATAAAAGGTATATTTGATTCTAAATCTCCTAATAATAGTGCGAGTTTGAGAACAATATACAAGCAAGCAGCTAGAACTCTTCTTACATGATTAATATGTATTTGAAAGAATAAAAAAAATTATTACTTGGTAACTGATAATTTAGGGCTTCATAAACTGCTTTACGTGCAAAGTCAACAGCACTCAGTGTGAATCCCTTGGAGATTCATAATTTCTCCAATTTACCACCGTGACTGACAGTTCCAGACTATTCCACTTTAATGACAGAGGCATTTGCACAGCGGTCTTCAAACTGTGGCCCTTAGCTGGCATTTA